TTTTTTTTAATGATGCAACATGGGTACGATTCTTAGTGAATATTTCAAGTGATGGTGAAGAGAACTTGTAACTAAAAGAATGACTGAATTCCACATAAGAAACAGTGTACTGTTATTGTGATATTGCAGGTATAATTGTAACGTACTGGTAAGTTAAATCAAGGAGTTATAACTCCTTGGTTAAATGAATTATAACTTTAAAAAAAAAAGGGCAAAACAAGCGATGGTTAAAGTGACGACCAAAGAAGACGTAACGCTAAATGGACATTTAATTATAATGTGCGACCTTGTAGTAAAATATGTGCATGTAAACGAAATGAATGGTGGATCCAATTAATGAGAATTAAAAAATATATATATATTTGAAAATTTCTACCCACCCTTCTGTAGATGCAGTAACTATTGCAACTTTCCCACTCAATTTCTTATTCGGGTTCACGTCAGTGCTTGCCATTCTAACACCAACCGAGCCTGCACGAAAGAGCCTCCTTCCCAATGCCGAGCAAAGCATCGCTGACTGAGGTCAAGAATTAGTAACAATTCTATCGGGTTATCTGTACCAGATTGATACACAAGACTGGTTAGAAATGTTTACATTCGGCTCGTCTTGTTATTGAAATCTCCTGGCGGCCACAGGACTGGTACAAAAAATTTACGACATTTCATTGGATAAAATAACAGCATGCGCAAGGCTCGCTACCGATTGCGATTGATCACAAAGCATGTTTCAGCTCGTTGGATAAGTCATCAATGTTTTGTTTAAAAACCAACGCAAAGTGGATCCTTAGAGCAAGTAGGGTGAAGCCGGCAACCTTAGCGGATGAAATGTTCCCAAATGCGATAAATGTTTTCTTTTCTACCTGCTCCAAGGCGTTCGATTCGATGCGTAAGTGTCTCAGTGTTCTTCGATTCATAATCCATTCGTTAAATTTTCACTTTATTTGTAATCATATACAGAATTGAACCATAACTGTTTAACCGTGTAATCTGTGTTTCTGCAAATCTGTAGTGTATTAACTTGATAAATGATAATGCATTTTCTCAGCATTTTAAAATCTGTCGTTTCCTTTCATCATACCATCATTTTCCATACTTGGGCTGTACCCGTTATATGTAATTCGAATCATAAAAGAAAATCGTTAATTTTTGCATGGTTATTAAATGTATGATACCCGTGGTTTATGATATTCAGATGTATTTTTTTATTATAATTGTTTCAGATTCCATCGGTACTACCATACTGAGGGCAGTAAATCCTGATAAAAAATTCACTGTAAGTGAGCATGAAACTGATAACGTTGTTTACAGTCATGCAAACTGGCTTGTTTCGATACCATATCCTTTTTCATTTTCCCTCCCTGTGCCATCTGTTATTTCCTTTCTATTTATTCTTTTTTTTAATCTTTTACTAAATCATGGTACAATGCATCCTTTTTACATCTCAAACTTTGGTAAATGAACTCTCACACACTGGTGTGCACAGGCCATCATGCAGCCAACCATTTGAAAAGCAGGGAGGGGAAATATTTTACTTAAAAGGTGAGCCTCTTTACCTCAACACTACATGTACTAGTATGTGTGTTCATAAAAAGTAGATCTCATTTCATTAATCAGGAGACCTTTTTTCTCGGCAAAATGGGGGCTCATTCTAAGGAACTATTCCTAATAAATTTTATTAATCTTAACTGAATGTGCACTACCTCTAGGGGGATGCTGAATGCTACCAGATTAACAGACTTGCACACCTGGCATTGAGTAGAGTATAGATATGTGGTGATTATAGGAATAGGTTGGAAACAAAAGGTGTGATTGCATTCAGCACAGGTCCCCAAGTTAGTGTAAGTTAGTCTGCAAAATTCATTCTGAACAGTGCTGCCCCCCCCTCCCCCCCTATCCTCCACACACGCACACCACACCACCACCACCACACCTTCTGTAAGATGTCTACAGTTAATTGAGCTATTTTGTAATCATGACACAATGTCATCATTGGTGGACTCGGTATATGAAGAAATGGGGGAGGGGGGCAGCACAAAATGGGCAGTGTTTGGAAGCAGCAGTGTGTCTTGCAATGAAATGACTCCTTTGACTGCACACTTACTGTCTTCAATAAGAAGGGGGTGCTTGTTCAGTTATATGTCTGTCAACTGTGATCATCTTGGGTTCATCTGAAAAAAAAATTAACATAACTTTCTCTCTCTCTCTCTCTCTCTCTCTCTCTCTCTCTCTCTCTCTCTCTCTCTCTGCTCAAATTGTGAGACAAGTTGAATTTAGTTATCTTTGGTCTACAGTGAGTCTTTCTGGTGAACATCTGATATACGGTGCTTGATAAATATAGGCTAAATTATTACCACCTTTTATTATAACAAGATAAGACTAAATTAAATTTCTTTTGTTGTAGGTATCTGNATAAAACAAGAACCAAAATGAAGACTGAAAATCCTGAAATCAGGCATAATCCTGAAAACTTTCACCCATAAAGTTGTTTAACAAAAGTTAAGTTGGCTTTAAAAAAGCATTCCTCCTACACTGTCAGAAAATGATGATAATAATAAAACTGTAGTAAATAAACGGCAATTACAAAAGGAATTTCCCTGCTCACAGATGCACAACATGCAGCAGTATTACACAAACTATGTAATACCCATTTTATCATCATCAAATGTTTATGACCCAGTGTATTAGATAAATAATTCCAATGGTTGTGACAACATGACTAACATGCATTAATTAAGACCTTTCACCTTTAGCTTTGAGTATTTAGTGTCCATTCTGAGGTAATAAAGTAAAACCTCTTACTTACCTCAAAAGGATTATAACCACCAATAGAAGACACCATTACAATGTGACCACCACTGAAAGAAGTGGTCAGGGTGAGATTAAAACATCCTTTATCCAGCTATAAGTTTCAATTACTATAAAGCTACCTACAGTAGTTACTCAATCTTTTAATGGGGGACATTTGTGGATTTTTACAGATACTGTAGTCCTAATTCACAATTTCTTTAGATTAGAACATCCTATTGAGTGGTTGTAACAAAATTAGAAAACTGTATTCTCTACAGTTCTATTCTATGCAGAAAAAAAAACACAACAAATGCTATACAGAAATATGATGATTATGATTATAGAATTATGTATCTGAAATCATTTTTGCTCACTGAAAAGATTGGGTATTTACTGTACTTCAAGCTGTACAAATTCAGATACTGTGATACTCTGGCCACCAAAAAATATTGGACGCTGAAAGATTCCAATAAAGTTGTGTGAGGAATCTAACAGTATATATTTATTCTTTATTTTGGTTGGCCAGACTGGTGATACTATTGTTTGAAATAACTGAAAGCATACATGTCCTTACCCTCTTTGTTCCATAATAGGCACCACAGCTTTACACAACAGAAAAGCTGCTTTCACATTGACGTCAAATATCTGGAATTGCATATATTCATGGTTATTTGACGCTAAATTCAGTAAGTTAATGATGATTAACTGTACAGAATCACTGACAAAATGACATCCTATGGAGACTCTGAAAGTAATGTGAGAAGGGGGAGGGGATGGTTAACCAGCATTTACATTGAGAATACTAGAGTCAGCAGTTAACTGATCAATATGTATTTTGATGACTATGATGCAGCAAAAATCTTTGCAGTCACTTTTAGCTTGCAGAAGGTAAACTGTATGACAAATTCAGCAGGTTTTGCAACAGAAAATATTTTGCAACAACACATGATTGAGGGGGCATTTTGAGGGTAACAGCAGTCACTTCTGGAGTTCCTAGGAGATTTTTTTTTTTTTTTTTTGAGAACAGATGAAAATTATTATGTGTGTAGATATCGTACATAAGTTAATTCAGTGTGGCAAAACTCTTTTAAAGACTGACTTGTATTATATCAACAAACATTTTATAAATAACTGAACATAAACTATGTTTAACGTATCAACAGTACAGAAAAAAAATACCTTGTACATGTACATATGGAGTACATGATTTACATGTATGTGCAAAGCATACTACAATTATTTTCAGCACCAATTAATTCACAAATACATCAATACTCTTTAATTACCAGTGACCACTATTCAATTGGATTAAATCCTGTTTTACCTTATCCCAAGCTTCTTCTGGTGTCTGTAAATAGAGACAATCTTATGTTGAGCAATGATCACTATTTACTGATACATCTACAGGTAGGGCTTTTCCAAGGATTGGGGGTACAAGCCATCCAAAATTATCGCCTGTAATTTCCTGAGAAAATTCAGGAAGTCCAAGCCATCATTTTTTTTTTTAATTCATAAGCTGTCCAGCCATTGGCTGTGGCTGGACAGTTCACTGGGAAAAACCTTGTCTACAAAAAATTCTGACCCTTTTCACAAGGAGCAGTAGTTTTCTGTGTCACACCAGTTTGATTGGTCCCTGAATGCTGTTACCCTACTACGTAGTACAGTTGTTTTTACAAGCCCCAATGTAAAAATCAAAATTAATCTGGTTATATCATTAACTGGCCATATGTCAACTGTGGGAGCTTCATTTAGGTGACTCTGTTATGTAATAGCCAAGCTATAAAGTTGTCTATCTAGCAAAATGCTCCGTTACAGAAAACTATATTCCATGAGTGAAGAAGAAGTGCCAGACAGTTAAAAATCAAATACAAGTTTCTTTCCTTTCGTCTATCTAGATTTTATTATTTTTTCATAACCTGGCACTGGAGAATCTGACTTTATTTAGTTTGAACTAAGCCATACATTCTCTCATATCTACCTGTAAAAGTGTCCCAAAAGTCGGATTGACTGCTGCATTGTTAACCAATATGTCCACTCCCCCTTGCCTTTGTACTGTCTAGAACAAATGTAAAGTATCGTATGTTTAAACAAAAAGAAAGTCTATGCACATGTTACTTAAAACCAAAACATGAAACCAAACAATCTAATACTTAGTGGTCTTCAGAAACAATTACTTTTCTTGTTTTTTGAGATTAATATTATCCAGGTAAAAATCCAATTACTGGTGTGACATACCAAATGTAAAGGTCCAATGTCAAATAATTAAAAAACCCTGATTACTCTCAAAACATTTATCATATACATGTAGGAGTACCTCAGAAATGAGTTTTTCTCTGTCTTCCTTTTTTCCTACATGGCATACCATTCCACTGACACTGAAACCATCTTTCTTTAAGAGATCAAGTGCGTTATCTACATTTTTCTGCTTTCTACTGCTGATCACTACATGTGCTCCATCCTGTGCTAATCTTTTGGCTATAGAAAATCCAATGCTGAAGAAAAAATCTGATTTTAGTTGGTCAAGTCACTGAATTTTATCTGTTTATGATAAATTAATTAATGAAAGCCTTAACAAGTACTGGCAAAGGAACCAATATCTATTTAAAAATAACAACAGTGTTTTTTTTTTTTTTTTTTTTTTTTTTTTTTAAGTTTTTAAAGATGCAAGATGGGTATACTGTACGATTCTTAGTGACTATTTCAAGTGATGGTGAAGAGAACTTGTAACTAAAAGAATGACTTTGTGAATTCCGCATAAGAAACAATGTACTGCTGTTGTGATATTGCAGGTATAATTGTAACGTACTGGTAAGTTAAATGAATTATAACTTAAAAAAAAGGGGCAAAACAAGCGATGGTTAAAATGACGACCAAAGAAGATGTAACGCTAAATGCACATTTAATTATAATGTGCGACCTAATAGTAAAATATGTGCATGTAAACGGAATGAATGGTGGATCCAATTAATGAGAATTAAAAAAACTATTTGAAAATTTCCACCCACCCTTCTGTAGATGCAGTAACTATTGCAACTTTCCCACTCAATTTCTTATTCGGGTTCACGTCAGTGCTTGCCATTCTAACACCAACCGAGCCTGCACGAAAGAGCCTCCTTCCCAATGCCGAGCAAAGCATCGCTGACTGAGGTCAAAAATTAGTAACAATTCTATCGGGTTATCTGTACCAGATTGATACACAAGACTGGTTAGAAATGTTTACATTCGGCTCGTCTTGTTATTGAAATCTCCTGGCGGCCACAGGACTGGTACAAAAAATTTACGACATTTCATTGGATAAAATAACAGCATGCGCAAGGCTCGCTACCGATTGCGATTGATCACACAGCACAAAGCATGTTTCAGCTCGTTGGATAAGTCATCAATGTTTTGTTTAAAAACCAACGCAAGGTGGATCCTTAGAGCAAGTAGGGTGAAGCCGGCAACCTTAGCGGATGAAATGTTCCCAAATGCGATAAATGTTTTCTTTTCTACCTGCTCCAAGGCGTTCGATTCGATGCGTAAGTGTCTCAGTGTTCTTCGATTCATATCCATTCGTTAAATTTTCACTTTATTTGTAATCATATACAGAATTGAACCATAACTGTTTAACCGTGTAATCTGTGTTTCTGCAAATCTGTAGTGTATTAACTTGATAAATGATAATGCATTTTCTCAGCATTATAAAATCTGTCGTTTCCTTTCATCATACTCATACCATCATTTTCCATACCTGGGCTGTACCCGTTATATGTAATTCGAATCATAAAAGAAAATCGTTAATTTTTGGTTATTAAATATATGATACCCGTGGTTTATGATATTCAGATGTATTTTTTATTATTATTGTTTCAGATTCCATTGGTACTACCATACTGAGGGCAGTAAATCCTGATAAAAAATTCACTGTAAGTGAGCATGAAACTGATAACGTTGTTTACAGTCATGCAAACTGGCTTGTTTCGATACCATATCCTTTTTCATTTTCCCTCCCTGTGCCATCTGTTATTTCCTTTCTATTTATTCTTTTTTTAATCTTTTACTAAATCATGGTACAATGCATCCTTTTTACATCTCAAACTTTGGTAAATGAACTCTCACACACTGGTGTGCACAGGTCATCAGCCAGCCATTTGAAAAGCAGGGAGGGGAAATATTTTACTTAAAAGGTGAGCTGCTTTACCGCAACACTACATGTACTAGTATGTGTGTCCATAAAAAGTAGATCTCATTTCTTTAATCAGGAGACCTTTTTTCTCGGCAAAATGGGGGCTAATTCTTAGGAACTATTCCTAATAAATTTTATTGATCTTCACTGAATGTGCACTACCTCTAGGGGGATGCTGAATGCAATCAGATTAACAGACTTGCACACCTGGCATTGAGTAGAGTATAGATATGTGGTGATTATAGGAATAGGTTGGAAACAAAAGGTGTGATTGCATTCAGCACAGGTCCTCAAGTTAATGTGAATTAGTCTGCAAAATTCATTCTGAATAGCCCCCCCCCACACACACACACACACACCACACCACACCACACCATTACCACCCCACCTAGTGTAAGATGTCTACAGTTAATTGAGCTATTTTGTAATCATGACACAATGTCACCATTGGTGGACTCGGGTATATGAAGAAATGGGGGAGGGGGGCAGCACAAAATGGGCAGTGTTTGGAAGCAGCAGTGTGTCTTGCAATGAAATGACTCCTTTGATTGCACACTTACTGTCTTCAATAAGAAGGGGGTGCTTGTTCAGTAATATGTCTGTCAACTGTGATCATCTTGGGTTCATCTGAAAAAAAAATTAACATAACTTTCTCTCTCTCTCTCTCTCTCTCTCTCTCTTTGCTCAAATTGTGAGACAAGTTGAATTTAGTTATCTTTGGTCTACAGTGAGCCTTTCTGGTGAACATCTGATATACGGTGCTTGATAAATATAGGCTAAATTATTACCACCTTTTATTATAACAAGATAAGACTAAATTAAATTTCTTTTGTTGTAGGTATCCGTAGAAGGCAATATAGGAAGTGGGAAGACAGCTTTCTTGGATTATTTTACAAAATATGAAAATATTGAGGTTTGTATACTGTGCATTTGCATTTGCCATGCAGGATTAGGAACCTATAGAACCATTCCCCCCCCCTTTCTATTTTTTTTTTGCTTGATATTTATCTTAAAATTTTAAAACATTCTGCAATTTCATTTACAAGCAAAATTATGGTAATTTGTGAAGTACAGTGCTCAAGTAAAGAGATCACATTTATTACAACGTTCAGTATGGTAGATGTCTATTTTTATTGATGATTTGATGATATGAAATTTATTTGAAATTTTTGTATTTAAGGTCCATCAAGAGCCAGTAAATAAGTGGAGGGACATTGAAGGACATAATGCATTGGTGAGTTACCTTCTTTGCCAGCAGTTTCAAAGAGATAATGTATAACAAATGGGTGCAGATGATCTGTCAAAAGAGAGTATTTATTGTGTCTGCCAAAGTTATTCTAGTAACATTATTGTTATACTTCAAAAAGGTAACTTACTACTTTCTCCAGTGCAGATTTATGTAATCTCTGAAAATTTGCAGAATATTTTTTTTATCCCATAGCCGCTGTAAGTTATCTGTTAAAGGTTGACAGACTTGAAGGAAATGAAGCACTTGGTTTTTCATAACTCAGTGAACCATTTAATGTGAACACTTTGGTGATCAGATGTGGCTTATCATTAATATGGCATTTTCTCTCTTTGAATTAGATGAAGTGTGATCTCTAAGTCTGAAGACTATTCCTGAACTCTAATTTTTTGCTCCCTACAGTTTTCCTGTGATTTTATTAGTTTCTAAAATGTTTTGATACCATATTTTCTAGAGGAATAGTCTGATTTATAGCTACATTCGGGCGAATTTTTAATTTTTATTTTTTTTCAGAACATATTTCCACATTTTTCTATTTAGATTCCCAGACAATCAATCACAAAGGCAACACCCCCACCCTCTACCCCCCTTGCAACCCCATACCAGGTGAAGTACTCATAACCACATTTCATTGTTTCAGAATTTGATGTACCAAGACCCCACCAGGTGGAGCCTCACATTCCAACATTATGTCCAACTCACCATGGCAAAAATCCACTCCCAAGAACAGGTAATAATGACTGCTCACAGCGTGGCCTTAATAGTTATGTTCTGTTTAACTTGTAGGATCTCATGTACAAAGACCCTAAACGCTGGAGTCTGTGCCTTCAGAGTTATATACAGCTCACCATGGTGGAGAGACATAAGAAGAAACAGGTAGAGTCGAACTAGCAGAGGAACCAAGATTTTAATAATAATTATAATAATGAAAATGTCCAGCCAAAATAAAATGATTTTGATGTTCAATCAAACAAGTTTTTGAAAACTTTGTTTTAAAAAAAGAAAATTACAGATGAATACTGGAGAATAAAAGTTATGTTGGAGTTTGTACTGAAATTAATTTTAAGCTTTTGTCAAAATGTTTGCAATGGAAGCATCATATACAGTAATTAAGATTGTTTCATAAAAAGTGCACTGTTTAAAAATGGCCTTTAGATGTAAGAAGTAATAAGTTACAATGAGCTATCTAGTTATGGCCTTGATTTAATTTTTGGTAGATCTTTGAGATATCTATATAAATTGGGGTCCAGATTAGTGACAATAGCTAATTTTTTTGCTTTTACAATAAAATTGCTTAATGTCTCCATTTGATGGAGAGCTATTAAAATAAATCATTTCTTCTATTGCCTATCTCTTTATTTAAAGCCCAAGCAAATTATTTGAAAAAGAAAATACCACATCACCTTAAGGGGTAATCTTACTATATTTTCCATTTCAGGTGAGACCTGTGCGCCTCATGGAAAGATCAGTTTACAGTGCAAAGTATATATTTGCTGAAAACCTGTACCAAAGGTATTTTAGTGCATCATGTTACCTGCAACCTTCTTTATCATAATCACACAATATCTGTCACACAGTGACATCACACCTAATACATTTTGTCTTATTATTCCCGAAAAATGATATTTGAGCAGATATTTTTTGCCTCAAGTTCTTTCTGTGCTGTATATTACCCTTGGTTGTTTTCCCCATCTCTCATTAAATTAATTGTGCTTCTGTGCACACAGCAGTAATATTTCAAACATTACTACATCATACAGACTTTTTCAAACTGGAGGGATGGACAAGTAGGGCGAGTTTACTACCAGAATTTGAAGAAGGTGAATTTTTTACCCCCTTTTTCTGGCTGGCATGTGGCAGGTACTGATTTGTATACATTACAGTTGTAATGGCACCTACTCTGGCTTTGTATTCATCTTTAAATTTAAGCCACATTGCTGATTTATAAAGGATACTAGTACTAATGACTCTCTTTAAATTTTCAGTGGGAAAATGCCTGATATAGAATATGTCATTCTTACTGAATGGTTCAATTGGCTTGTTTCCAAAGAATACTGCCACATAGATTTAATAGGTAAGTAGTAGTTATACGCTTTGTATTTTAATACATTGATAGGGTGTAAAGTAACCCCTTGTGACAGGAATATTAATCCTAAGAATGGAATTTTGTGGTCCCATATGGTTTGTACAAGTTATGGTCAGCCTAACTTCTCCAAGTAGCCAGTGCTATTTCATTTCTTCTATTGATAGACCCTCCCTTCCAAACTTTCCCTATTCTTTCTTATAGCATTAATTTCGGACTACCATTACATGGCCAATAGAAATGGTTTAGAAAAAATGTGTTTCTGCATTATAATTGAGAAATATGATGTTGTCAAGACATACTGGAAACTTTTCAAAAACAGTCAGACATTCGAAACAGCTCTTACAGAAAAAAAAATTAAAAAAAACCCTGACATGGGACTTCTTGGCAGACTGACTGTAAGTTCAAAAAGACGTCTCTGAAGATTGTTGCTGGTCTCTTAGACTGAATGTGCATGGTTTTCTACAGGCCCTTTGAAATAATTTATAAGTCATGACTAGTTGGACTGACACTTTCTGAAGGGGCAGTTTTGAGTTGGGATAATGCAGGCTGCACTATGATTGCAATTGGTTTGGGCTCCCAAGATGAAAATATGTTGAGTATATTGAGAATTTTGGCATTTTGTCTTTTCTACACACAGTGCACACTTTAAATAATATGTGCACCAAGCATATGTACCCACATGTCTTTGGTTTCTGCATCTCAGATTTGAACATAAAATATAGCACGGTTGCTGAGCCTACTTTTAGATTTTAGTGTGCAATGAAAGGTTTGTCAAATGGGGGGATAAGTAAGCTTAGCACCTGTGCAATATTTCATGGGCACATTTTGGAAGAGGAAGGTCAAGGTACATGAATGTAGTTACTTGGTGCACATGTCGTTTTAAGTGTGCTCTGCATATAAGAGACAAAATAGCAGAATTATCATTCAATTCAGTGAACCTCTTTCTTGGCAGTTCAACCTCCTATGATGGGATCTGTTATCATCATATCACAAGGAGCAGAATTTATGTCATTTTCTTTAATAATTAAATTTAGAAAATGACATAAAAAAAAACAATATCAATGGGTTTTAAATTAACAAAGGTATTCACAATCGTAACAGATTCTTAGCTTATTAAAAGAATGTTATGTATTGCAGTTTATCTAAGAACAAGGCCAGAAGTTGTTCATGAACGAGTGAAAAAGAGATGCAGAAAAGAAGAGAAAGCAATTCCCTTGGTATGTAAAACTTCAGCTAATTGGAAAAAGATGATGAACGTAGTTTGTGTGTCAAGAGTGAAAACTATACTTGAGGTGAAATGGATTGGATAATGTAACCTATGTTGTGTTGATATTTATGGAATTATATATATGCTGGAATAATAATCTGTATATTCATGTATCCTTGTAATTTTAGGAGTACCTAGAACATCTAAATGAGCTATATGAAAACTGGCTTATAAACAAGACATCTTTTCCTGTGCCTGCCCCTGTCTTGGTAAGTGGCTCTGACTTTTTTTTTACTTAGAGTGGACTTTTTTTGGCCAAAACAAAGAGTTATTATCCCTTTAAACTTAAATTTTTAAAGTACAGCTAAATACCCCTAGGCTGTAATGTTATCCCTTTCAAAGGGCATGAACTCCAAAATCAAAAGCACATTTTTTTTTATTTTGCAAAGATGAAAAGTTCACTCAAAATGATGTGTGCTTGGAGTAGCTACATGTAGCTTTCTTGGTTCCCTTAATTTTGGCACGTTCACCTCTGTACTCTCAATTTGCCCAGCTCAGTTGGCTCCTGTAGCTTTTCTACCAGGTTGTATATAGACTAAAAGATATTGTTACTGTATGCTTGTCTCAAGGATATTTTTCTGCTTGTACTTCACAGCAATTTTTACTTTTTTTTCTCTTTCAGGTTCTTGATGCAAACAAAGATCTTTCCAATATGTGTGAAATTTATGAAGAAAATAAGAAACAAATTCTTTGTGGATATGGATGAAGTTCTTTAGGATATCGAGAGTTCATCACCAAAGAGTCTTACAATCAGTGAATTGTGCATTTGTCCAAAGCCAAGTGAGGGACTGTCAGCATTGTTTACTCATTTTTAAAGGAGAAATGAATACTGTAATTTTCAATTCTAAGGAGACTGAGGAAAACAGATGGTCCAAATTCATTCTATTTCATCCTCAGTACAATGGCACGACATAAATGCTATTGACCTAAAACCTCTGCAAGGCAACAGCTCCTTTTTTATCATCTGCAAAAACACATAAAACAATTACGTGCAATTTTTAAAATGTCGGTTTTAACACCTGCCTCTGGTATATATGTTTGATGTTACATTTCATGGAAATATGAGATTGAACTTAATCAGCTTTAAGACAAAATCAATATCACAATATAAGTCAATGGAGGGAAGAAGACCACAATTTTATTAGTAGGGAGATATGCATGTCTCCGTGTTATTTGAGTTTGATGAAAGGATATTACTTGGTTTTTTGGAGGTAGTTGTAAAGGGTGGAACAATCAAGAGGCAACTACAAAGAGTGCTTTTAGTGGAAATCTTGTCTTCATATGTCATATTTTTGGGTCGGTTCTTAGAGCAAAATTGAAGTGATACTGAACAATTACAATTTTATTAATGGCATCCATATAACCGGTTCTGAATATTTTGCATGTGTCTTCAGACCTGGTAGATTTAACTAAATCTTGTAAAATTTGTCGGAGGTATTTAATTTCTCTTTATGAAACCCACAGCACAAGACGCGTTGGTGTAGATAACATGATAACAACATGACTGCTTAATGATTAGGAGACATTTGAGAAAGGAGAATCTCACCACAAATATTTTGAACAACACCAGGTGTTATTTGTTCAATAATTATTTCAATAATGAGGGAATCCTAAAATCATCTGAAGGTCACTCGGTGGAATTTAGTTTCTGCATGAACCAACATGAGAATGTGTACACTTATCTGCTCAAGAAAGAAAATTGAGAATACAATTTTTTATGAAAGTGAAATATTTCATGTTTGTAGGTAAAAGTGCATGGTAAGGGCGTTGTTTCTGTGTTCTAATAGCAGTACTTGATGGAGTTGTCTCTCTGAACACATGCTCTCTCTTCATGCTGTAGGTCATTAGGTAGGGTATCGAAGTTCAGGTCATTGTGCAATTATTTGCTACCCAAAAACATTTGTGTTCTTGTGAATATAGATGACTGACTGCTATTTTTTATTACTTATGCTTTATCAAAAGAGGGTAGGAGTCTCATTGTATTTTAACATTATTTTGTATTAAGCAATTGTAGCAATTTTCATTGCCGTTTACCATTAAAGGGATAATAACTCTTCGTATGAGATCTATATTTCACAATAAAAACCTTGTGAATAACTCATAGAAATATAATATATTCTGTTTTACCACAAAAACAGCAGTTATAGCTATTATTCTGATATCTGAACATGTCTTTAGACCACGTGACCTCCACTGATGTCTATACTCTGTTAAAATCTCTTAAGAGATTTTAACAAAAAACCAAACTTTTTAGAAAAAAACCAGGGACTAACTTTGAATGTAAAAATGGATTCATTAACCATTGGTAAGAATGGGAAATTTGTTGTTTACTCCAGGAAAATTATTTTTTGGCCGAAACGAAGAGTTATTATTGCTTTAACTTTTACTGTCATCAGTTCATTTTACTTGGTCAAGTTTTAAATTGTAAGCATAGTGACCATGAGAGAAGTTAAATGTTTTTCCATTTTGGTAGCTATCTCTGTGAATGACATTGTTTGTGGATTACTTAATATTTTTTAATATGATATACCTTGTCGCACAGTTCCAAGATTGTATAATAAACCATCATGTGAGGTCGCTGTATTACATTTTGACTAGCAACATTTTATCTGTAACGGTTATTTTCGATTGAAAAACTTCATAATAATGAGTCAACATTTTTATTGACTCCCATAGGTTTTAACGCGATGAATTACTAGGCGTCCGTTTCAGCTAATCTAGTCTCTGTATTCTGAGATACTCCAGTTTTATTACTTTTTTTCTGCCATATTTCCTCTACATTGACTGCAACTAGATTTTAAAGGCTATTTCCTTGCTTGTGTGGAAGTTATTTCTGTTAAGCATTGTATGTTTGTGGTTACCTGAGACCTTAGAGAGAGAGAGAAAGTGTCAGTCCAGAAAAAAAAACGGAGATTGGATACCTTAAAAGTATTTCGTGCAATGTGATAGCAATAAATGTTTTCAAAAATGAATATGCTAGGATTGGTTTGTGTTATTTGCTGATACGTGCATCGCCCGAGTTGCAGAGCTTCCCGGTAATTCGCCATGAGAGTCGGGGGTAGGGCTTGGACCCGCCAGCCATGTATTAGAGATACAAGGGTGGAGGTATAATAGGATTTAGAACCGCCTTGTTATGGGGTGGATCTATGGTTATCTATGGTTTCAAGTGGAAAGTAGTGCCATGTAAATGCATACGACTCTTCGTTTCTTGTAAGGAAAATATATCAGAAGGTTAACCTTTTTTATTTTGAGCTATCGGTCTTAGTTTTCTGACGTATTTACCAACCTTAAAAGGGGGAAGAATTGACAGTTTTCCATAATGAGTTATTGCAATTCACTTTTCAAGGACAACGACGTGAATTACAACATTTTCACCGGGGATAAATAACTACTGTCGCTGGCAAAAACAAAATAAGCGTCAGCTTAAAAAGGGTTGTCATCACTATCACAGTTGCGTGATAGCCGTTTAAACTCGATTGTGGCCATTTGTCTATATCATTTCCGCTGCCTGGATTTACAGAATTGTGAGACCCAAATTCCCAATGAAAAAAAACCTATAAAGTTTACATATACATTTCTGAAAAAAATCACGTTTTTGGATTAATCGTTTAAAGAATATTTTGTTTAAGTGTTTGAAAAATATCCAATAATGTGATGTTTGAGTATCCGAAAAATATCCAATGACCCTTTTATTAACTCAAAACGGCCACTTAAATTTTCATCGAAATGGTACCAGGACCATGCATGCTACGTCTTATCCAGGTTTTCTGACTATTAGGTAAGCTGTCCAAGCATATATTACCTCGAAGACCATAAATACAACTCACAGAATATAGAATATTTTCAAGCTAATCTTCAATGTGGTTATGGATTTTAAAATTTTACATATTTTTCATAAAATGAAGAGTTATTGCTTATCCCACAAGAAGACCGACATAAACAAATTTTAGAACCTAAATAGCACTCAAATTTGCATTTATATATATATATATATATATATATATATATATATATATATATATATATATATATATAATCATGAACTTTTCTGTGTTCTCCTCAACGCCTTTAATCTATTAAACTGATTGCATTCAGGGTCTCTCCCCCGCGGAAATATGAGCCCTATAATGGAATAGGATGAGCCCTATAACGCGACGATGGTCGACACACGTGGCAAGCCAACGGCTCCAAGATTAACGTGATAGCATAGTGGCTGAACATCAATTTTGAAAACGACAGCGCCTTGTTTTAGATCAAGTTAAAAAAAGGAAGAAATGATTTTGCTGTCATTGCTCTACTTATGGAAATGTGTGTTTCACTGTGTTTTTGTCGATTATAGAAATTGGATTTATACATGAAATGCACATTAATGATTACCGGTGAGTCGGGGAAAAAAACCTTAATTACATTCATTGTGCAGGATTAATAGAGATTTTCTTTTGTTTGTAGCAGAAAGGTAAATTCGATGGCAAAGGCAATTAGCCAAGTTATAAAAAATGAAATGTTAAACAAAGGAGACAAAAACAATTGTCAGTAAAGCAAAAGGCCCCAAAGTAAATGGGCAGTCCCAGAACAATAGTGTTGCTACTACATTTTGTACTCCTTCATATTAAGCAATATTTGCTATTTTGTAGTCCAGATTCAAGATAGAGTGGAGAAAGAGAGGTCCTGCGTTGGACCTATTGTACACAAATAATTAATAAAATCATATAAAAAATAGAAAATGCATAAGTTAAATGTCATGGGAATGTTTATATTATCATGAAAAGTAAAGTAATATATGGTTAAATACGTACAAAAATTGTTGCATCAACAGACTGCGATTTGAAATACCAACTGATGTAAGAACGTGGTGATTCGATTAAGGATATACAGTATAAACCGTTTGACATTTTGAAATTATTCTTACGCCTGAGCTGTAATTTCTGCAGTTGTTATAATTTTTTATTATTAAACGTTATTTATTTAGGGTATCGTAAATCTAATATTTATCTTCCCCATGGCTCTACAAGTAAAGTGCATTCGTACGAAAATTAAATAACGAAAGAAATCATCTCTCCTTAACTAAGAAACATATTTTCCTCACATTTGTTTAACAAACTGTTTAGTGAAAAGACATTGTCGTGACACGTAAGGCTTCGGTTGCCTAGCAACGGTTCCTACGCATATGTCGTTCTTCCCGCAAGAGAGTCTTGTAGCTGATTGGCAGGTCTTCCCTTTGCTCACGGCTATAAACAACACCAGTACAGCATTTTCTCATACTTCGATCAGCAAAGGCTGTCTCTCATGGTTATTCTTTGGTGCGGACTAACAAAGCTATGCTGTACAGAGACAAGTACTATACTAGGTAAAGTGGATGAACACGTGGGTCTGCTCTGATGTCGTTTCAAGCATGCTGCAGGTCTTAGGTAATCAACATGACTTGTACTTTATATTAATATTGAATTTATAACAAATTTTGCATGAGTTAACAATTGTTTCTTTATTAATAAGTATAGTATTTTTTCATACTATATTTGTTTAATCCTACTTTTCAATTTTGGTTTGTAAAAATGAATTATCTGTTGGCGGAAAAAATGTATTAGTATCCTTAACTTTCAACTTTGTGCCTGGGCTTATGAATCCTAGTGAGAAGGTTCAATTGGTTAGCTTTAAAGATCGTAAGGAACGCGTCTTGTTATTGTGAAAGGCAAAGGTAGGATAATATTTCTGCCAACACGTTTTAACCAAATGATCATTTCATAAATGTGCGTGCTAAACGATGATCTATAAGACCTGATTTCACATCGAGCGCGTTAATGATAATTACTTTTGATGGCATATACTATCTGTTCAATCTATTTTTCCATTAGTCGACACATAACTTGCTACAACGTGATGTGATACAAAACCCATGCGGCGGTTTTGACTTTTAATTTTATTGGTTCCTGTAGTATATACAAATCTTTATCTAAATAAGTTCATATTCCTTGTTCCCGTTTTTTTTTTTTTTTTTTTTTTTTGTCGTTTGAAAAATTTTGGAAGATGATCCGCTTGTTCTCACCCAGTCTTAAAGCGGGTTTATTCATTGTACGCGCTAACAAATGCCAGGTATATGTATATTAGAGTGATGGCTTTTTTTCTCGGTGCATGAACTCCATGATCTCGTTCTGCTTATATGAACTGCAAGGGGATTCCAATAAACAGATCGCATTACACAGTATCATACCCTGAACAAATTTTGAGTGGTGATGCAATGCTTTTCAACCCCGCTGAGAATCGTCATTATCACATCGCGTACTAGGCAAGAGCGGTGTCGCGTCTGATACTGTGTAATGCGATCTGACACACACCTTGAAAACGGGTAGTGTGGTCTGATCTACTGGTGAATTCAGGATCATTCGGTGCCGAGTCTGGTAGTTGGGTAGGCCTGAATAAACAGCCATAACCATTCGATATTGTAAATGATTTGTGCTTACTGCTGCAATCAATATTCTTAGATAACCACCTAATATGTTGTTTTCTGCTGTTTGTATTATTGCATTGTCTTGTGTTTGTGCGTGGAGAGAGAGAGAGAGAGAGAGAGAGAGAAAGGGCAAAGGCAAAGTATTATACAGTTTGGAGATGCGCGTTATATTTCACAAATTAATCCAAGGATGACAATGTATCCATACATAGAAAATAACCTTAAAGATTTATATAATTGGTGATTTTTTTTTACGCAGGCAAATAATGATGACGAAGTAACAGCAACAATATGAACGGAGAGACTGCGTAAGCGTAAAAAATACAATATACAATTCGTGATGAATGTAACAGACGACTCAACCAATGTATCCATTTGGTCCACTGTTACTTACAATCGCACCAGTAACTCCAGTGCAGGGGAAGACCGCCGGAGTTACCGAAACTTCTACGAATATCACGCCAGTGAACAGCTCTGGCTCATCGCCCCTCCCATACTGATCATATTTGGGACGCTGGGAAATGCGCTTTCAGTATGCGTTTTGTCCACAAAGAAGCTCCGGAACTTGACCACCAGTCTGTTTCTCATTGTGCTGGCCATAGTGGACACAACTGTCCTGTTTACCGGACTTTTGCGTTACTGGATCCGTCACCTTAGCAACGTTGACATCCGCCATCTATCGGCCGTGGGCTGCAAGGTGCACGTGTTTCTAGTATACACCAGCCTGGATGTATCTGTGTGGCTGCTAATGGCGGTCACAGTAGAGCGCTTTCTTGCCGTGTGTTTTCCATTTCGGGTAAAACAACTGTGCACAATTGACGTTGCTAAGGTAACAATTGTCACCATCGTCGCCGTTCTTTCCCTCGTGAACTGTCACTTCTTCTGGACGATGGGTGACGTGGAATACGTGATCGGCAACAAGACGTACACGCAACGCTGCACCTATGCCGATGTGAAATACTACGCCTTTATGACCAAAATATGGCCGTGGATAGACTTTTGCATCTTTTCACTTATTCCACTGACTTTAATGTTGCTCTGCAACATATCCATCACCGTTGGATTGGGGAGATCATACTACCGCCGAAAGCATTTGCCACTGCAGGGGGACCATCCCGCCAGCGACGTCCGTATGACCACTATGACGGCAATGTTAATGGCTCTAAGCATCGTCTTCATAGTTACCACCGTCCCTATCGCCGCGTACCTGATCGGCCAGCGCGAGTGGACCAAAAACGCCGACAGTCACACGATAGCAAAGCTCAGCCTCGCCTGGGCTATTGTTAACATCCTTCAGTATTCGAACAATGCCTGCAACTTCTTGCTTTACTGTCTCAGCGGGCCGCGCTTTCGGAAGGCGCTGACGGAAATAGCTTGTGTGAGGTGCTTCAGAAATAAAGTGCATCCCGGGAACACGGCCACCGCCGGGTCAACGACTGCTGGGGTAGATTACCCCAGAGATCAGCCAAACTCTGCAGAGACCTGTGCATGAAAAGCGCAATTTTTCTTTGTAAAATTCTGAAAGATCATATGTTGTTATGTTTTTATTATGCACATTAAATGAAAATGGATGTTCAGTTACATTAACTAGCTTTCTTTGCTAGTACGACACAGTTTTAAATATTAATCACATTGCAAATAATATATATTCAGATATCTGTTTCAGTTCTAAGAAAATGTGGATTAATTTATATTTATAAGTAAGTCTGTAGAAATAAGTCATTTGTAGTATCAGTTATTTAATGTTTTACCGATTACGTTATTTGTTGGTATTTTTTCAGTTTTCCGCAGGAAGATTGCTGTTGAGTTTTGTGCTATTTCCTTTCTTGCAATGGGCAATTTGATTTAAAAAACGTTGTTATGACGTTTTCAGCAACATGACCATGGACTTGCTCTTTCACAAAGTCGAGGTTATTTTTATACTTTATCAGGCCTACCCAACTACCAGACTCGGCACCTACAGATCCAGAATAAACCGGTATATCAGACCACACTACCCGTTTTCAAGGTGTGTGTCAGATCGCATTACAGAGTATCATACCCCATCACAAATTTTGTAAGCCTACCTGTCATCCGGGTATCGCGACTCGTTTTCGTCAAGTAGGAGTCGTATGAATACAACAACATGGAAATCGGCAATCCTCGGCTCATTCCGCAAGCTCCATACTATTGTCGAGTGCGGAGACATCGGAGTAGTTCCGAGTGACAACATGGCGACAGACGACTCACTGAATCTCGTCCAGAAAATATTTAACCCCCGACAGAATATGCTTCCGCTATCAAAATTAGGTCTACTTTTCTAAATGAATATATAAGGTTGCAAGTTCTTATTAACAAAACATCATTGGCTATGTTCGAACCTAAATTTTCTGTTAAAAATTGCGGTATTGTCAGATTTTTAGCATAAACAGGGAAAATTGCAGCAGCGCATGAATCTAAATGAGATGCACTATTTTCCAACCCCGCTTTAGACCACGGTGGAAGTGAAGAACAAAAGATTCAGACCTGGTGTAACTCGCATAACCGCACGTCTCGCATGAATGCGTTATAACCCGCTAATGGACCCGTGGTCTAAATAAGATAGACCTCTCGTCAGCGAGGGTTATGTGACATCCACTCGTGCTTCGCACTCGTGTATGCCACATAACCCTCGCTGACTCGAGGTCTGTCTATTACTACGATCATCGCTATCACATCGCGCACCAGGCAAAATCGGTGTGGTGGCTGATACTCTGTAATGCGATCTGACACACACCTTGAAAACGGGTAGTGTGGTCTGATATACCGGTTTATTCTGGATCCGTAGGTGCCGAGTCTGGTAGTTGGTTAGGCCTGTTTATGGTTATTTTAAACTTCGCCTCACAAGATAAAAAAATGACATGAAATTAGATGAAGTTTTTGACAGCTCTCGTTCTTCAAACCAAGGAACCCACCTTACTGAAATTTGCAATACTTTCAATGTTTCCATCAAATCAGGCTAGCGGCGTTAAAGGTTGTACTTACCAAGACAAGCAAACTGCAATCAGGGTTCCCCCATCCTACCACAACCGCCACCCCCCCCCCACCCCCTCCAAGTGTCAAATGTTATCAGTTATCAGTAAAATACATGTTTGTATTAATCTGTATGTTGTATCATTATATTTTGAAATATCCCTCACTAATGGCGTGTAAACATGAGAACATAGAGGAAGATTAGATCTCCGGATCTGAAACCGCATTGGGAGAATGTGTCACAGGCCCTTCCTTAATTTCCTGTTGTTCTTGGTTATGAAAGTGCAGGAAATTCTGGTTAAAACAACATGTTCTTCACTGAAATTGATATCGTGCATGATTCCAGTACAATTTTGTGGCCGCAGTCGTTCGCAATTTTCAGTCTTAAAGGTATTTTGTCTAATTCCTTCTTCATAATTTTGCTTATTGCTACATGAGCGTGAGCAATTTAAATGATTATGGAGTCGAGAACTCTCCGACGGCAAACCTCAAATTCTGGTTCTTATCACGAAAAAGTTCATGAAATATTGGAGTGAACGCCTGCCTCTTAGTTGACAAGGTTAGAGCAGATATTACATTTGAAACATAATGCTAGCAGCTAGAAGTTTCTTATAAATTTTGGAAGCTTAACTATCGTTGTTGGAGCCAAGGAACAGGAACCAAAATGGCAGTCTTTCAAATATCGGTATGCATCAGATTTGATGGTAATTACCTCGTCTTATGTGGCAGGCAAAAACAATCATGTAACACATTGACACGTTCGATATCTATAAACATCAGCCAATTTGCAAGTGCATATTTGTTGGCGACCTTTTCATGAGGCATTATTGTTGTTCTTTTTTTTTTTTTTTTTTGCTAATTAAGATATTTATTAAAACTTGGGTGGTTTTCTTGACTAAAAAAGCAGTCAATGCGACATTTACGCCAAGGGCATAACCCCCCTTTGGAAGGGCTACGTATTATGAGGAACAAGAGAAGAAGTGACTTATTCAAATTTATTTTTCTTAAAAAGAATATTACTTTTATGTATTTATTGTACGCATTATCACAAAAATAAAGATGTTTTAAGTATGTTTGATTTACACTCTGTACGTATAATTAAAAAAAAAACAGAATGATGGAGCTGGGGTTTTAAATGGGCAATATGGGGAAAAGTTGCATTCTGTGTTAGGTTCACTATTTTATTATTATTATTATTATTATTATTATTATTATTGGGGGGAGGGAGGTGGATTGCAGAAAAGTACAACTGGAAAGTTCATTAAAACTTCAGAAAATTACAGATAAGGTATTTGGAATTAACTCAATATTACCACAATACTATAACCATTTATCCAAAAATCATGAACTACCGGTAATAAATACATCCTAAGTTCGAAAGTACTTTTTCGTATGATTACGTCTACAATCTCGCCTTGAATTTAAAATCTGTCAAACCATGAGTATTGTATGCGACTTTTCCAGTCAGTTGTACGTAATGTTTGCTTTATAAAAACGCAAATTATATGTTAAAGAGAGCTCTATTTCAACAGCCACAGAACATCACATTGGTGCTGTGATGTCATAACACATAACATGCCTCAACATCCAGACATAACAAATATACCTAAACATATTGAATGGGATCTAGACAGATGACGAAACAGTTAGGTTAAAAAATCAGAATTTTCCACCTCGATAACATGTAAAAGAAATGCTTTTCATTGTCTCCATTCCCTCGGTCTTCTGAACAACCATCTTTACACACTACTTTCAATATTTCAAATTATCAGCTGAACACAACAGTTATTTTAACACTGGCAATATTTAATATTAGTAACAAAATTATATGGCTTATACATGTATAATATTATATTTTTATGCCTCTAGTACATGTAGGTCTCTGATAGGTCTCATACCATGCTATAATCTTTATAGCAAATGAGTGGAAGTGTGTTTAACTGTTATTCATTATTGAACATTCCTGCACGATGAACAATTCCATTAATTCACAACATGACAATATGTTTACAACACAGACAAACATGTTTACATTGGTTGATAATGTTAATATACATAAAAGTAAATGTAAACCCATTCCTTATTACTGAATGGTCAGATACAAATTTCACTATCTGATAAGCGCCTAAATGATAAGCTTTCCTGCATGCACTGAGCTCATAACAATTTCAGAATTTCACAAAATAGCAATAGTAGCAAGTAATAGCAAAGAAAAACATGTTTACATTTATAGATAATTATATAAATACATGTGTATAGGTTACTATTATTTCATTTCTACTCCTCTGACGAAAAAAAAAAAAAGAAAGAAAGGAAAAAAGAATCAATGACTTTCATGAAAATAATCCGATCGTGTTGATTTTCAAAAGGAACCAGTCTTGCTAATATGCAGTCATCCTGCATACTTACAGTAAAAACGAAAATACGGTTTTGTGGTTATAGGAACGAATGTTACGGACGGTGGCGCTGACGACGCAGGGGCGGTTCCAGGATTATTTGAGGGGGGGGTCCGCGGATGCAAAGCCGCAAAGGGGGGGGGTTCAACACAGCGACGACATGGATAGACACAGAGATCAGGATGTATATACAGACACACACAGTGATTTGTATATAGAAACGCATATATTGTTTGAGAATGATTAATGGATTGAGGTAGAGATTGTTAAATACTAAGAAAATTCTGAATATCACAGCAGAGGTTAAACAAAAAAATCTCTCATTTTCCCATCAGCTATGTATTATGTGACTGATGTCTATCACAGAAAAGCATTAGTTGTCGTCGTGCAGGTGATTCTTACTGATTGTCATGTCAAACGGGGCTGATCATATATCGGTTTTTATCTAGGAAAGCTCCAGGGAAATACTGCGCAGTGAGTGTTGGCGGGCTTGTTCACACGAAGCTTTGGTAGATCGGTTCTATCGAGCCAAGGTCCCTTTTAGTCTATTTCAGTTTCATATTGAGCCTGCCTATCAGAGAATCGAGGTCTCAATCACAAAACTTGTACTGGTGTTGTGTACAAGAAAGTACCCCGTGATGCAGTTACCCAGTGCCCATTGATATGTACAGGTAACCTGCTTCTTAAACTTTGGTCCACTTAAATGTACCATTACGGCACGCTAACCCTAACCTGTATGAATCCAATTGGGAGGGTGGACTCTGCAATAAAGACCATGTTTTTCTTCACACTGGATGAACTTTATAACGTAGCTAAAACCAATCAATCTGAGTCTTCGGTGAACATGTCTGCTGTCGTGCTGTCCGTCAGATAAGGCACGGTTAATTTTTCACACCTATGAACTATGGATTATCTTTTATTACTTGGTCAATCCAATCTCTGTAGTGATACACTTCTGTGAAAACGCTTGGGAAAGTCGGTTTATTGCACACGATGTGACCCCAGCTATTAACTCCGTGTAAAACCCAACGCCCGGTCATGTCTTCGCATACCATCGGGCCCCCGCTGTCCCCCTAGCGGAGTGAAGTTTTATGTTAAAAATGGCAAATTAGGAGAATACTTACTTTTACTCTCTTAAATGATTTAAATCACAACGTAAATAGAAAAGTAGATTTGATAAAACACTAACTTTCAAAGGATTTTGGAATGTTATTCAAGGTATGTATAAAATTGCTTTTTGACTGATTTTACGTTAAAGGATGGAAAGGAAATCATAGTCTAACAATCGTTTATGTCCAAGGACAAACTTGTTCTTGCAAGGCCTTATTTTTCATAAATATAAGCACTTAACCAAATTGGTTGAATAGTGCTCTTTCTTTCTTCTCGCCAACAGGTACCAGTGATCTTGAAACCCATTACTTACTGCACACGCGTTGATGATTCCGCTCTCATAAAGTGCACACATCATAGTGGTGGCGTTATAGACATACGTCATTAACGATGTTGCTGCGTCACATACGGCGTCTGTCTCCTCTTGTGCTTTGGCCTCACGGAGATGCATCGTCGCAGTCGCTGAAAGTGGGACATTTACCTTTATGAAAGTGCACAATCTTATCACTAACTTATTTATTTTTTGGACAGTTGAAGGCATTATAATTTGTCAACATATACTCGTAAAAACAGGTCAAAACAAGCCCAACTAGTCAAAAAAACTGTCATTCCGGCAGCTTGCACCGACTCCTTAACTCTGGGGACGTGGATGAAGTAATGAAACCGCCCAGAGCTGGTAATAAATAAAATGCACACCAAGATGTAGAAAGGATTACATATTAAAAAAAAAACAAGGAATAAGCAGTAAAGATGGCGACTCGTGAGCGGTGAACCTTGACATGGGTCATCAACTGTACGTGTAGTGATTGCTCGCTGCGTTTGATGATTTAATAATTCATGTCCAATGCATTTCGTCAAAAAATCTTAATTTTAGATATCCTTATGAATTTTATTTTAGTATCATGTCTGGCTACGTGCGAAAGCAAATCAGAAAGGTACCGTTCATCTTTTTATGCGAGCCAATAAAATATTTCGTTGAGCAAGGATATTCAAACGATCGCCTACGGTCAATAGCGACAGAATCTATTGGGCGTACTCACTGGTTACCATTGTGCAATGTATAAGATTTATTCGTATATGTAAGAAGTACAATACCTCTATTCCCTTGGGTGGCACCCCATCCCGTTATATAACACCTTCTTTTGGGGGAAACAGGTTCGTCCACTGACGGTAAACACACAGGGCGGATATAGTCCGTGTAGGTTACAGGCGCTTCCAATTTCAGCAACGCAATGTCGTTATTTATTGCGCTCGGCGTTTCAAATTGTGGGTGACTGTACGTGGCTTTTACTCGGACCACGACTGACTTGGCATCAGGGAGGACTAATTTCACAGACCCCAGTCTCACAGCAAGGTATCGGTGTAGAAAACTTGGAAGCCTATCAAAGAGAAGTGGTTAGGCAAAAAAGCACATTTTAAGGGATATTGAACAATGAAAGAGTTCGTCTCGTCATAGATTAGGCAACAAATTCTATACAGCCCTCTAAACTGTCGGCGGCGATTAATTTAGGGTTATCCCAGGACTTAATAGTCTAAATTAAGTCTTAAAAGATACGTGCTAAATGATATATAATTTCGTTTGCCTCATTATCAGTGAAGATGTTTATTAGGAGATTCCCAGCAAGAGGATCAGCTATGGAATCTGTTTTGTCCGCTTAAATACATATATGGGTGGAGTGTGTTCATGAAGCCAAAATCTCAATCATACCAATCTATACAATGCGCCCCAGTGAGGAGCCACTGTTTGTTGATGAGTGTAGCTCCGCAGTAATGACCACCAATCAGCGTCATTAGTGAGGCTTGCCAAGGCCACGCCCCTTCCGTCGCTTGTTCGCCACCTGTCACACGGGATGCAGCCATTTCCACTTCCGGTAGATTGGGAGACTTGGTTCCACAAACTGAAATATGTTTTGCAGTCATTTCTTCATCATTATTAGTTATCCATATGACATACCGGTATATGCTTTTTCTTGATACATGACACTTGTCAGGCCTAAAGGTTTCACTTGAACGTGCTTGCTTTCATAAATCGATTCAAGTGTTACAGCTGTATACCCATGCAATCATATCAATATTTGAACTCGTGAAACATACAGCTGGTATAATGCCTCTGATATGGTTGAGTATGGGAAAGAAGACTTTAATGTTATATATCCATTTCAACACATATTGGTTCAAACTTTGAGGGAGGATCTATTTTTTCATGGTTAGGTAATCAACATGTTAATCCATGCACTAAAAATGAAAGGATGCAATGATGTGGATAAAACTTATATCGTTCTGTTTAGCGATTTCATTACAAAGTAATACACCATAAACCAAAACGTATATGTCACCAATGATATCACATTTCACATTTTGCAATATGACAAGTCTCTTGGTAGAAACCAATAAAGAGGATTGAAAGTACATGAAGTGGTCTGTTGCCTTACACGCCATTACGATATAGTGCGCTTTGAACCTTTCACTAGATGTTCACAGGAGGTATATGCACTTACTTTTGGAACCACAGGATAAGGATAATGCTTTGGAACCATTACATCCGGTGCTGAAATAAATCGAAACAAAAATATTGTGTTGGTTTTTAATGGTCAATAATTGGTGACCTAGAATAGTGACAATGCCATATGAATACGTGTATTAGGGCGTTTAACCTAAATGTATCACGTCGTTTGGCTAGATATGCTGCATCTTCACGAGAAACAGAAGGAGCATATGCAAAAGTGAGACAAATTGTGGGAACTTAAAAAACTTAGGGCTGAATGTTCAGGTTATTACGTTCTGCAAGAAAAGAATGTCAGATTTGTTCAACAGTAAATCATTACTGCTGCATTCAGACAAATATGACAGAACTGTCATTCCGAGAAAAAACTGTTGATAAGATTTTTGTATCATGTGGCCTGTGGCGTGTATATCAGCAGACGACCTACATACCTCGGTACGAGACTTCCCCGCACAAGTGGTGTTGCAATGCTCGTGTTCAGCTTCATGTATAAGTTAGATGTCACGTTGACCGAGTGCACGTGGATCACAGTGCTGCGTAATGATACAAAAGAGGCCAAGATAAAATATATAAAGTGGACATGCAAGCATTGGCGGGAAACACGCCATAAAACAGATGTTCATCGTGCTTTGGTAATTTTACTCTATTAAATGTCAATTGTCAACGCCGACGTATTTGTTTACTCAAAATTTCCCATATCGCAAAGAAGTTATACGTGTATCTGCTGGAGCCAGAGAGAGAGAGCATTATTCTTTTTTTTTCCAATACATATTTTGTTTATCAGCTCCACCCCCCCCCCCCCCCCCAACCCAAAAAAGGATAAAAACAATATTTCAAAAGCATCAGTCATATGTTGAGGATTGAGCAGGCAAAAAATCAGGAAGAACTTACTGACTATTCCGATCTTCATTTCCACTAGTAGCGTAATAACAAAGTGAAATCAGGTCAAACATATGAGGGATAAAGTGGGCATTTATATACATAATCGCTAATGAAACCAGAACGAGAGTTTTGTTGCTCCTACGTGTAGTTCACTACAGTTTCTCATTCTGGCGTTTTCGTAGGTTTATTAGAAAGCGATAATTTACATGTTTATACGATAAAAAATCTGCTATTTTCCTTTCTCTTCCTCTGTTTTGAATGCTGTTTTCTCACACTACCAACCAATTTTCAAAACAAACAAATTCCTCCTACATATATATCATTACTGCGCTGATAAGCTTCAGATTAATTTACTACACGAACTTTACATGCTTTAATGTGGAAATCTGCATTTCATTTTATTTCGTTTACACACACGTTTGTGCGATTAACCTATGTCTTACTTCTTACCCAAGACTAACATCTCTGAAGACAATTTCCAAGAAATCAGGAAGATGCGATTTTTACATTAAGTGAATAAAGGGGATATAAACAATAACTGTAGCAAGCTTTAAGCGCTAATTCATCAAGCTTCCTGGACCCATTTTTACAACGTCAAAAGGTAAGGAGTACCTTTAAGGCCTTAAGCCAATTGTAAGTGCTTATCCATCAAGTTTACTGGATCCATTTTTACAACAAGATACGTTTCATATTGTAAGCGAACTGTCAGCGCTAATGCACCACTATGCTTCCTGTAGCCATTTTTTACGTCTGCACGCAATTCATTACTTTAAGCCTAAACGTGCCAGAAGCTACAACTCGCGCCTAAGCTTTCAGAAGCCCGTTTCCCAGCGTTAAACACTTGCGCGCGTGGGAATCTTCCGCTGCCAAGTTGGGCCAGCATATTCTGATACATTTGCGTCACGAACCAGTTGATGGACTTTCTATTACAATCAACACACTACTGTAGCAATTCCAATCCATATTTTGTCCAACCAACCACCACCATTGTAACAATGACAGACGGGGCGCCGTCAACAGGATTCTAACAGTTATACATGTATTATCGTGCTCAAGCGGTCTACAGAGATGGGTCGGGCAGAGTTAAGCCGACATAACTTGATTGGTAATAGGAGTTTATGTTCATTGACAATTCACACCGTAATACCGAAAAAATTAATTCAAACACTGGATCTTACGTTGAAATGGAGAACATGACGTTTCGACATTATCACAAGTCCTTCTTCGGGTGAACTGTTTTTGGTGTGTTACTGGTGTCACGTTGTAAATTCTGCTAGGGATAAGGTCAAGATCTCCTTTTTAATGTAAGACCCAGTATTAACACCGATTTTTCCTTATCTTAGTTTTGTATATCCGGATGAATCAAAATTGGCAATTTGAAATCCAAACTAACTCTTACCCATGGCCGAGCTCTTTGCAAATTCTGTCAAACCATCTTGAGTTGACATCGATGAAGCAAATTGGGTACCATTGGTTTTGATGCCATGCTTTCGCCACGCCGGTCATTGTTTCATTGCTAGCATCGAGGCGTACTGAAATTGATATAGACAACATACACAGTACATTGAAACTACCAATCAACAAATTTATATTAAAGTCTACGATATTCTGTATTCTGTAAATTTTTGCTATTTCGTTAAATATCAGTTTTATCAAATGCCCTTGGCTCGCCAGCACACACACACACACACACACACACACACACACACTCACACACACCGGGCCCGTAGCCAGCAATTTCAGAGGGAGGGATCGTTTCCTTAAAAAGTGGACCTTTTACCATAAAATCCTCAAGTACATAGATCAAATTTTACCCAGAGTGGACCTTTTTCCAGCAAAAAGGGTGGTTCTTTCGAACCCCCCCTAACCCCCACTGGCTACGGGCCTGCACACACTATAAATGTATAACTTACGGCAATTCTTTTCATCCCTCCCATTGGGGCAGTTCACCATGCCGTCACACTGAGCCCTGGCTGGCACACAGGTGGTGTTGTCTCCACAGCTGAACTGGCCGGCTTCACAAACATCTGGATAATGACATTTACCATGAACGTGAGACACGTAAAACTTTCACCATTTGGTTGCAGTGTTATAGAGTCGCCGAACTACGTTTGATTTCAGTTTTAAGGAAGTAGGACTTAAACTTTTTGGTTTCAATTTTAGAACTGTAAAAGCTCTAACCTTTGGGGTGCTATGCTAAAATAATTGCTATACTATCATTGTCATTAGATCTATATGAGGTGAACTTTCTATGCCAAACCCTTGTGTACTGGTAGATGTGACCTTCATTTACTTTTGTTGAGAAACCATCAGCCATTTATGGCTAGCCCCCTCCTCCTTTGATGGTAAAATGATATAGCATAGTCAAAATGTACCAACTAAATATGTCTGAATTCAGATATTTTATCTCACTCCTTTAAATATCAATCCCCATATTTCGTGTGGATGTTAAAACACTTACACACTAAATACAACAAGAGCTGACGCGTTCAGTGAGAAAGCCTAGATAACCTATGGTAACTTTGATAGGTTTCTAATACACATTCTAACTAATGTATTTCCTCTGATTGCATTTCCGAGAAGTTTTGATTGTTCATGCTGTGAATTCCTATTCCCCGAATTCAGTAAACAACGGAGTAATGATCCATTCTGATACACAATCAATACTTACTACACTGAAAATAAAATACAAAGTAGGACAGTGAATAAAAGGTTCGGTTGTGGTATTGTTGTTTGATTGATGGGGTGGAGTACACAAAACTTGAAGGAGCAAAATCAAGTGATATTTCACATGACTTAGGGCGCGTTTCCATTGAAGTTATCGGTCTACGTAGATCGATCCTACTTCGTGGGGACTCTCGCTGAATGCAATCAGCTTTTCAGATTAACACACCTCCTCCTGTTTCCAACGTACTCGAATAATTATCAATTTCACTGACCCTATCACGTTTTCAAGAGACACGAGATTGTAGAAAGTCACCTGTTCTGTATTCTAATCAACGTCAGGGGAAGGCGTGTTTTAATATGTTAAACTGATTGCATTCAGCGAGAGTCCCCACAGAGTTGGATCGACCTACGTAGACCGATGGTGTCTATGAGAATTAGCCCATGATGTACGTACTGCAAGCCATTTCATCATCGCCGTCAGCGCAGTCTTGGTGTCCGTCGCAGACCCACTGTTTTTCTATGCACCTGCCGTCTCCACACTCCCACTGGTACGGCTTACAACCTGAGAGGGGGGAGAGTGAGAGGCTTTACAACATAGCTATGACTTGATACGGTCTATAGAGCATTTGCTAGAGCATATCACTTTAAGAATCCATCATAATCACTGGATTGATCTTGTATAAGAAATATATAAATTACTTTAAAAACTCATCCATGAACAGGCCCGTAGCCAGGGGGGGTTCGGGGGGTTCGAAAGAACTGCCCCTTTTGGTAGGAAAAGGTCCACTCTGGGTAAAATTTGTTCTAGGTTCATGAAGTTTTTATGGAAAAAGGTCCACTTTTTCAGAAAAAGAACCGCCCACTTGAAATTGCTGGCTACGGGCCTGATGAAGATCAGCTATGATAGATAATTATTGATTCTTATTTTAGTTCCTGAACAAGGTATTTTTATCTATCATAATTGATCGTTATAGCTACGTTTTCAGTGTTATTTATTTATTTATTTGAGCGTGGCAAGTACGTGATACGACACGTAGAACACTTACGTAAGGAAAATATCTTCAGACAGGAACTGCACCGTAATTCTGAATGTCAGTTTCAATGATAACAAACAACATAATCGTGACGCTTATATTAGGTAAATGATCGCCCATATCATTCATCCATGTGATGTGACGGGATATTGCATTTCCTGTTGCTGCGCTGACATACAAGCAAGCACAGGAAGCATTTCGTCTTAAGTAAATGTGATCCGAATTAGACTGAAGAATAGGCGTGTGGAACCCTCACGCATGCTATGATTATTTATTTATTTATTTGTTTATTTATTTATTTTCATTTGTTTTTTAATATTTTATTTAATTATTTATTATTATTACTTATTTGATACGGTTTATTTTTTATTATTATTATTTTTTTTTATTTATTTATTTATTTATTTTTTTTTTGGCAAAAGAAAGCTTATGTTCTACAAAAGGGTGATATGGTTAGTATAACAATGTTAAAACGAAGCCCTCTGTTACCGCAGTGTAATTCATCCGTGTTATCGCCGCAGTCGTCGTCCCGGTCACAGCGCTCACTCCCTAAAACACACCGTCCATTGCCGCACTGGAAGTGGGTCGTATTCGGACAGACTGAAAAGTGAAAAATGAATGATTTTCTTTCCTTTTTTTGTTTGTTTCTTTGAGCTTATTTGCCTTCATGTTTATCTCTTTCTACTCTTCTCTCATCCCCGCCTTCCTTCCTCCCTTCACCTTCTTTCTCAATTTCCCCTCTCTCTCTCTCTCTCTCTCACTCTCTCTCTCTCTCTCTCTCTGTGTGTGTGTGGGGGGGGTGCGTGCGTGTATTTGTGCGGTGGAGCATAATTGCAGATCTGTTTGGTTGAGGGCACATTTCACCCCTTTAAAAAGGCTAGTAAACATTGGCATTTCAATTTCTCGGGGTGATTCCACACCCGTTGTCAATATGTACAAAACATAAACACCGTGTCACAAAACAAGCTGAAAAATGACAGAAAAAAACAGTATATCTAGAGAGTACCCAGAGAAATATCTGTAAATGTCCACTAAAATATATATATCTATGGTCCTGGTACATGCAGAGGGTACAGTATGTTTACCGCAGTTTTGTATTTCATCAGCTCCGTCGTCACAGTGTTCGTAGCCGTCGCATACATAGCTCATGTGGATACAATTGGTACTGCTCGGGCAGAGGAACTCATTACTCCGACACTCTGGAAATATTCACATTACACAATTTTCAATACTGGGTTACCAACAATCTGTTCCTAAAATGTTATTTGATTTTTTTTTCTTTTCTTTTTTTGAGATTTTGGTGCAGCTACAGGGTTGCTTATTTAGGTAATACCTTCCGTGTTACAGGTGTTATTCTAATGAAAATAAGACGTTAAAAATAAAAAAAACAATATCTCTTCACGTTGCCATGATGGCTATTCTGCAGCAATATTATGTTTTAGATGGTCAAGTACGTGCAATGCCAATAAACGACTTATAGGCGTAGATTACAAGACTCTGTTTGACACTCCCTTGGTGTATTGTAAACACTTCAGGCAACCTCGGGGAAAACGATGATACATCGCCAAAAGGTCAGAATAGGAGACAGAAAACATGCATCTCCTACCTACGTTGTTGAATTACTTTTCTAATCGCGTACCAATCAAACCTTGAACACCTGCGTTTAAATGAAACTACTCCCAACCAATCTTTACCACAAACAGCAAATGTAATAGTTTTTTTTTTTTTTTTTTTTTTTTTTTTTCTAATTTCTGAACGCTCTTCATATTTCTTTGCTCAAATAACCCGATGAATCACTGAAGAAAGACAGCAGTCACGCAATTTCCATTGGGTTTTGCAGAAAAATATTTCTGATCCAAATCGTTACCCTGAGACCCCCAAATCCTGAAGGTAACTTCTCAAAATCGATTTTAGCGGAGTGTTTCCAATAGACCCTTGAAACTCAGGGTGATATTGCCAGACAAATACAAGACTCACCACAGTTCTGCATCTCGTCTCTGCCGTCATGGCAATCCAGTCGTCTGTCACACACTTTATCCAAGCTTATACACCCTCCGTTTGGGCACTTAAACTGGAACTCGTTGCAAAAAGTGCTATCTGAAAATGGAACCACAGAACTAGTGGTCATCGCTAAGCAACCTTATATACTATGGTTTATTTCAAACATTTTAACGTTAAAACACTCACATGAATCAAACAGTGTTCATGTAAACCCCAGTGTATAATTCATAGCATAATTCTCCGAGGAGCTTTAGAAAAACTTCTACAAGAAAATGTGATGTTTACGCTAATTATAACAAAATCGACATGAAAACATTATACCGATTTTGATTTTTTTTCATTATGCTGGACTAACGTGGTATTTAAGACGTTTATAAAGTGTAGATTTATTAACAAATAAAAGTGAGAGTCGAGCGTGGCTTAACATTACCAAAAAAAGAAAATCCATCATATTAAACCCTATTAAAATTTTATATATCATTGTCTTAGAATTAGATTTTGCAGATTTCAAGTCATTCACTAAGGCTGGTAATTAAAAGTGACTGATCGGCACTTACATATTTCTAATCAAAACGTCGATCAGCAAAGAAATACTGCAATGACCTATGTTGCCATCATTCTTGTTTTAGAGGATTGCGGTACATTTTTAGGACGTGCGCGACAGTTAAGACAACCACAACTTCCACACAAGTTTACATAAGTCTTATTTTTGAAATTTTTGTCCTTTCTTCTCAGATATCTTGAAATCACTATGTACTGTATACATGTGAAATTAGAGATTAAAAACCTGTTCGCCTGCCCCATGCAATTTTCCTGTCAGTCAGCCAGTAGACCTGACAGGCCAATTACCCGGCGCTGCTGTGTGTTTTGAACGACCAGTTCTGTAATGTTGGATTATTGTTGAAGTTTAACGGCATAGCGAAGCACAGGGGCACAAACAATAACTTTATTTTTCAGCAAATTTGGAAGAAAACAAGCGTTTTCATCCCATTAATTAATATAAAACTGCCCTCATCTACTGTTGTATATTATTTGTACACCCCCTTCCACAACAGCATACCGGATCCACCAGTGGGAATATATTCCATAATGTCAGATAATAGTAGAGATATATCGTATAATATCAAATGTCAGATTTCTTTGGTCTAAACAGAAAACTTCTCACATCTAACATAGTTGTACATAAAAGATCAATATGCCAAAACATCTGTTTGTAACGCCGAGTTCTCAAGGCTGTGACTCTTTCTCACTATCTTGACAGATTTGGAATTCACTAATAGGTAAATGTCATATCATGTTACAGCAAATTATTATCGACATTTTTTCTTTCGAATCTTCTGGCATATGCTTACAATGCAGAGCAATCTTTTAACACGACTTTTCAGGTAAAGAGATATTATTATGGTAACCATTATCTCGACTGCCGGAAGTAATTTAGCCTTTCGTAACATACAGTTTTAAGTAATAGCTCAAAAACTCTTCATGTGTTATTTCGAATACATAAGCACGAACTTTGTAGTTCTGAGAATCTCAAGCTTATGTAAACCAGTGCTATGTAATTATTTTTGCATGAACTACGGACAAATGCCAAATTGAGCATATATAACTTGGGTTTAATGTAATAGCATTATTATTGTTGCCTCCTAGTGCGTCTATCTGCTACTAATGCCTTATTATTAATACTCTCTTATGAAACATAACAATGGGGATAAGGAAAAATATCACACCATATGTAGATTGTCAGAAAAACGGCAAAGTTGAGCACAAAATGTAATAATTCAGAAATAACGTTTAAACTAAGAAAAACGTTATTTATTAGTTGTTAATAAAATTGATTTTGAATGGGGTCCTACGCCATTGCTGCTTATTGTTCTTTAGACCTGAAAGTAACTTAAGCTGTGTTGAAATAAGATTCAGTGATTCCTTTAGTGGAGACAGTGTTCTGTGTGTGGAATAAGCCTTGTCCAATGAAGCATACGATGCATATTACTCAGACTAATGACGTGGCAGAGGATATATATGTAGGTACAAGCCTTTATACTTACTGCATCCTGTCAGTGTATAGGATTCATCGGAGCCGTCTCCACAGTCGTCGGTGCCGTCACATAACACAGCGCGTGACACACAGAGCCCGCTAGAACAGGTGAAATGGGATGGTAGACATCCTGGAAATTGACATTTCATTACAGAAATTAAACCTCTGTCTTTCTAAATTAAAAAGTTAATGATTCTTTTTTTGGTAGAGAAAATGAAATAATTTGATATATAAGGATTGGCTAAAATGTATTTTGGTTACAAAAAAAAAACGTTTATGTAACATGTTTTCCGGTGGTAATTTTAAATAATAGATTTAATACCATATATAAGGGCGATTTTCTACTTCTAAGAATCCAAAGCTCATATCAGCCGATTAGACACGTCAGTATTTGTTATTTATGGAATTGATTGTTTTCGCACGAACTCAAAGGAAATGAAAAATTGAGCCGTGATAACCTGGACGTTATAAGTAATAAATACAATAACATGTACCCTCTTATATCCAGGTGTCTCTCTCAGCTGCTAATGTCATATTATTGAAAACACTAAAGAGACATAACGAAGACAATAATGAAAAATATTATTGCATAAATGGATGAGTTTCTTCAAATAGAAAAATTAGTAAGCAATTACGTTGACTATCATAATCCTTGGCTAAGACCTAAGCTATATATAACTGTATCTTCTGATGGCGCATTGAAATCTCTGTGTCAAACTGGAAGGGTTCCAAAATTTATGTCGTAATAAACGGCGCAGATGCAGAGCGAAGAGAATATAAGAAAAAAAAACAACCCTGGAGCAGTTCCGACTCCGCACATGAGCTTCTACCCTCTACCAGGGCCGCAGTTATTATTGTGGACATGTTTGCTGACATCAGACCAAAATGACCGTCTATTTATCTAAAGACATATCTGTGAATATCTGTGGAAAATCAATTTGTCGCCCTGGTAGAGGGTAAAGAGCTTCCATCATTCACTTCGAACGGTGCGAGAGTGTCAGCAACTAGTGTTTGTAAAATGGGGCCCATGCTTACCACATTTCAGTCCAGGTTCATCACTGTTATCCGGGCAGTCGGGATCGCCATCACAGTACTTTTGAACCTCAATACACTGTCCAGTGCCACACCGAAACTGGGTCACTGAGCAATCTAGGAAAATGAATTGGGAACATTTCCTTTTTGCATTTCTTGGCCGTGGGGTGTACATGTAGCTATGTCTCACTATACCATTACTTTTAAAACAATGATGCTTTAATAACATGGTACTCTAAAAGTTTGTTGTAAGTAACCTAAGCTTTATGATAGACTATTTATTAAAACTAGTTTGGTTTCTGATTAAAAATAGCAATTAACTGCAATTCATTTCATCACTCCCGTCCTCGCAGTGTTCAGTTCCATCGCATATCTGATAGTCCATAATACACTTGCCGCTTGTTTTACACTTGGTTTGTTCTCTTAGACAAGCTGAAATAAAAAAAAATATACACAAACGTCTTATAACAATGCAAGCAATCATGTAATGGGATATATTCACTGTGCAATTGATTCCTTTCTGGTACATTGTAGGCCTACCTACATGACAATCGTCTCATTTCACCCTTTATCAAAAATCGGGCTTACATTAGCCCTAAAAACGACTGATTGGATATTCTCATTCTGCAGGTAATGTTTCCGTTAAAACTGTTTTGTACCAACAGACGAATTATTATTGTAATTGTGATTTGATGTTTACGGTAGGTTCTTTTCTCTTCTTTGTCATTACACCTTATCAAAAGATACATTAATTAAAAAATAGTAATAAATAGATAAAGGAATAAATAAAATTGTGAAAAAATCAAGTTGTAAATGGCATATTTTGAGGGGGGCTTGAAGCATTCCAACATCTTGTCGTCTAATTAAACATATTTCAGGCGAGTGTGGTCAGGCGAAAAATCACAAAACAGATGCGTAAGTACTTGTTTACTTACTGCAATTAGGCTTTTCATCACTTCCGTCAAAACAGTCATCTTTGCCATCACACCAACGACTTTTATCATAGCAAAGGCCATTCTCACACCGGAACTCCCATGACCCGCATGCTGCAACAAAAAACAACAACTACAGTATCATATTACCAATTAAATCTGATACCTTCTCAAGGCATCATCATTGTCTGATATTTCATACAATGATAGTGAAAAGACAGAGGTCATATCCTTTGAAGAACCATCAAAACAAATTGTATATCTAAGTGTTTTCTTGTCGATATGACTGATCGCTTATTGTTGCTGGCTTTAATTGGTGAAAATCTTGACTTATCAGGGCAAATCAAACAGTGATATTGTGCTATCAGAAGTTATTAAATCAATCAGTGTCAGTCCTAGAATACCAATGATGTTTTCAATAAAATATGTTTGTTCTTATTTTAATTCTCTGATCAACTGTGCCTTCATGTAGTCATTATATAGAACCTTTGGACCTCGATATTTTATTGATTGTTTACGGAGCCAATAGGGGAAGATAACCCGGTGAGACAGTAGGGAAGAATGCTTTCAGGAAAAATCGGTGAGACAATAGGTGATAACATTTTCAAGAAAGACCGTTTCTGTACAAACACGTAAGTCCCTGTTTACAAAAGACAAATTATGATCCTGACAGGAATGGCAGTTCGCTAACAACCGAAGCCCGTTTCCCATTACTTTGTGCAGGTGACATTCGTCCATATACTAACCCCAATACCCCCACTAACTCTAATCATATATGGGACCCCGGACTTCCATTCCTCGAACTACCATTCCTGTCACACCGTCTCTTAAAATGTCAACAATAGCATTCGCCCCAGCTACCAATATCTCCTAAGAGTGAGATTTTGTTTTTGTCTATGACCAACTTACGGCACCAGGTTTCATCACTACGGTCCTGACAATCTAGTCGTCGGTCGCACAGTTTGGACCCCGGTATACACTGACCAGACGAACATTTTCCCTGGCTGGACAGGCAGGCTAAAGGGGAGGAATATGTCTTCATATATTCATGTATATTTTATCTACAGATTTTATTATTAAAGAAATGAAAAGGGGAAGAAATGTTCTATTTCAATACTGCCAAACTGTAAATGAGATACGCAATAGGGGGGTGGTAGTATATATTCAAAAAGTATAAAAGTACGGCAGTAGTGATTTTAGTCAAAAAAGAAAAGAAAGAAAGAAAGAAAGAAATGTTATAATTCAACTCCAACAGCATGAAAATGAGATTTTTAACAATTATGTTCATATAAAACGGTACATGTTTATATGTGTACAACATAATACAATGATAACGTTTTATTTTCAAGAAATAAGGCGGGATTAATAACCCAGTGCATCTTTGAATCTTTTCAGTTGTCTTCGTTCAAATTACGCTATCGTACTAAAACAGTATACAAAATAAAAGTACGAGTATGCGATACAATAATTTTATGACAAGCCACTAGCGCACCCTGTGGACTGAGAGTAGTTCAAATGGGCATCTTTATATAACTGTACATATACAATGTACTTTTATATGTAGTAGCTGTGAGCTGTGATCTTACTGCAGTTTTGAAGCTCATCACTCCCATCCGGGCAGTCAGGAGTGCCGTCACACCAGTGATCCTCGTGGACGCAGAGGGGGGTCGTCTGGCAGCGGAACTGGTTCACCAAACACGCTGATTTACAATAAATAGATGCATCGATTATAAAGGCTATGTTATGTTAAAAGGCATAGATCTATAAACTACTTGCATTCTTTTCTAGATGTGAACGTCAGTAATTTATCAGAATCCATGGATTCAGAACCTACTTCAACTACTCACAATTCTGAGCTCTATACCGGTAGATGACCTTACTTGGACCGTAATTATTTGGCTTTATTATATTTCATAAAAAAGATTTTATAAACACAACGAGAAAAAAATAAATAATTAGAAAAGAATAAGATGAATTTTTTAAGAAAGATGGAAAGTTGTTTTTCTGTGCAAGATTGATGCACGACATTTTTCATCTTTGGCTATCTACATTGTGACGGTTGCGACCAATCGCAATGACTGCAGACAACTGGCACAATCTCAGCATTTGTACTTTCAAAGAAATCACCTTCGCATTCGCAGAAAACAGATCTACGCATTCGATACCCAAAACATAACAAATATAAGAGGAATTTGATGACTCCTCGTGTTCGTGAAAGTTGCATTAATTGCATACCTTGTGCCTTAAATATTTCCATGAATAGTCAACATGAAATAAGAATAATAATGCCTGTATTTGCTTGAAATATTTCGATCGTTAAAGTTGTAAAGGCCTACTTACGACATCCAGCTTCATCTGAGTAATCACCACACTGGTTTCTGTTGTCACATTTAAGAGATGGTCTGATACATTTCCCGTTGTCACATCTAAACTCGGTGTCCGTGCACACTGCAAAAATATTTGATTAAACAGGAACTCACTTTTTTCGAAACATTTCTAAGAAAAAACGGAGGAATATACTTGTATTCGAGCATAAACAAGAATCAGATTTAAAATTAACTTTAGATAAATTATCAGTAGTAGTGTTACATCAAATTTATAAATCATCAAGCCATTAAACACATCACGTTAGGGCCACGTGGCCATTTATAGCAACGTGTGAGTGCTCACGTGCACTAGGTTATAACCTCTTTCTCGGTCTGTTACTAAACCACATGAATCCCTTGGTTGTTCCTGACCTACTTATTCTAGCTCCATCTACAATCATTGGGTCCATCTTACTGTTGTGCCCTTTGATATTAATGTTCATTAATTCTAAGACCAGACTAAATTGATAAATTGGTCAACTTGAGTGACCGAAGCTAGTTTTGATAAAATCAGTATTTTTATCGCAGCAATACATTTTTCTTTTCAATTGCTGAAAAATGCATTCGGCATTGCTGTGTAAAGTATGAATTCCTACAGTAGACCAACGGAAAACATTCCTGTTACTGTTTTTATATGCTCTAAGGCACCTATACGCTTTTCCTCGATCAAATGAATTTTTTCTGAAAAAGAAAAGGAAGTTTCTCGTACTCAGAAATTATTGCTCGACTTGGATTCTCTACTTTAAGCAGTTATTTATTTATTTTATGGTATGTTCTTGTATATATCAATGTTAACTCTCGACGCCATGTACTTCAACTTAGGGGTTTTATAGTCGATCGGAAAAAATAGGAGCCTTGCAGGATGGCAGATATATTGAAACTATGACTTTGGAAAAAGCATATAGTGAACCTTTTAAAATTGCTCACACTTTGTCCGTTAAACATCATGTTTTAGAATAAAAAGCTGGAATTCGCCTTCCTACTAGTTTTATCAGACCCCGGTTTCACAAAAAAATAGCTTGGTTTAGTTGAGAATGCTGTTACACTGTTCCTGATAGGTTAAGATGTGCGAATGTACTCACCTGGATTATGCAAGCTCAGCATGGGCACCACACAAGAGCAAATTCATTGATCAAATTGAGGGAGTGCAAAACAGCTACCGGGTATGAATAACCTTAGTTACCCAGAAAGGTTACGTAAACTTGGGTTACCAACACTTAGCTATAGAAGGGTGAGAGGGGACATGATTGAGATGTATAAACTAGTCACTGGGAGATACGACAAATCAACTAGAGATTTTATTAAGTTATGGCCCAGTCATTCACATAGGTCTGGTAATAGAGGAAATTGTTTTAAGCTGTTCCCTCAAAGAACCAAATTAGACTTGAGAAAATTCAGCTTCACTGTGCGTACAACACAAATATGGAATAGCCTACCCGATCAAGTTGTCAGGGCAAAAAGCCTCAACTCTTTTAAGAACAGATTAGACAAGTGGTGGGGTGACCAGGAACTCAAATATGACAATTATAGGTACGAAATCAACATCATCAGAAGTCACAAGTTAGCTTTGGAGGAAGAGTCCAATAAAGAGGATCCAGTAGGAACCTGAATCGGAAATCAACGCTAATCTAATCTAATGTAACGTTGGTAATTAAGTTCTTACCCAGGGTAACTGACTTTATTTTACTTCATTATTTTATTTTTTTCAATTATTATTATTTTTATTTTAAATTCTTATTATAATTATTATTCATTTATTTATTTATTTTTTGAAACCGTGCTTGGCCTTACCGCAGTTTTGCATTTCATCAGAGCCGTCACTGCAGTCGTCCTCTCTGTCACACAGCCAGCTCTCCCACACACAGGCACTGCCGTCCAGGCACGCCCACTGGAAGGCACCACAGGCTGAAACAGGAGCAAACAGAATAGAGATATTCTCACAGAATCAAACAGGATAGAGCAGTTCTTATAGGATCAAACAGGATCAAACAGGTTAAAGAGCCTACAGTGTATTCTAAAAAACGTCGCACATTTTACAGCAGCTCACGTTATACATACTACACATCATGGGTAAGAAGTATCTCTGACGATGATTCACACGAGAGTCTTCTCTTTTTTACGCAGTAATATATGTAGTAGCAATATATCATTTAAATACATGTATATGTCATCGGATATATTACTGCTTTGTATTAAAATAAAGAATCAAACGAAGAACTACCTTAGGAAAAAAATTACAGCTACAGACACAGTTATAATAATAATGATAATAATAATAGTAGTAGTAGTAGTAGTAACAGAACACATACGGTAGGGGGTCGTTGGTATCGCCGTGCTGCTCGTGCCAGGAGTGCTCGTGTTGACGGTAGTGACCGGACTGTGCGTCATAGCAGTTGAACGAAGCAAGGAGGCGGTAGTCGTCTTAACTGTTGAAGTTGGCGTAGAAGTTGAGACAATTTTCGTCACGGTAGAATAGGTGTCACCTGTTGTGACGAAGGATGTGGTACCCGTTGTGCTGGTGACATTTTTCTCTTTGAGACTTGTTGTAACGGACAGGGTTGGCGTCGCAGGAGTAGAAGTGGCTGCTGACAATAATGCAACTAGATCCGGAGTATTACATGAATTAAAATCAAAATAATTTTGGACTGATACAATAGTAATGTGCAATTTATTTTCGAGACATGTTTAAATTCTATATAAGCTTTTTGCAAAAGAAACCAGTTCTTATATTTTTCTATCTTTTTGAAAATCCCCTCTTGTTTAGTCCATAAATCATACCGGTACCTGAAAATTTTACTTTGCTGATATCAATTTTCCACCCAGTGAAGGCGTCTCCTTCTTCTTCCCTCACTGCGTTATTAAGGGTTTCCACCGCCTTTCCTACCATCTCGTCGCTGTTTGTCTTAAAGCCAATTTTGTATGTAACACGGACACTACCCGCTCTAAAATATTAAAGTGCAAATGTGCAAGACCATGACCAAAACTTGCCCAGCGGTAACTGAAAAGATTCAAAATTTGAATTTTGCTTCACAGTTCATGGTTGCTAGTCCAACAAAGGTATTAGTCGTTTAACCTACTAAGAAATCGCCCCTCAATGCATTTTATGCCAAAAAGCCCTTAAGATTTTGCCATGGCGAAAAAAAACTTAGTAAAGGGAAAATGTGAAATTGCAAAGAACAAAATAACATTTTTTTTTTTGGTGAGCATTACCTAAATTGCGTCACCTGACAGCCCGCGTACAGGTGAGCGAACCTGGAACGTTTGTACACAGCATCTATCTGAAGTGAAACGGTAGACTCTTACATTTACCTGGAGTTGCACGCTAAGTAAACTGAAACTGTATCCTCTATTTAAGTTTCATAAGGCGATTTAATTTAAACACAATTGACGATCTATTCTTTCTGAGCGTTTTTCAACATAATATTTAAGATATATTAAGAACATTCTTTTGTACTTCCCTTATATTACCTAATAATAAATAAAATCGCAGCAAGTCTAGGTTTTTTTGTCTAATACTGGCTAGGGAAGTAAAAATGGATCCCTCTCTCTCTCTCACACACACACACACACACACACACACACACACACACACCTCTGTACAGAAAACGTATGCCAGGTTTTTATATTCTTTCGATGCTGGATCTTGTAAATCTGGGGAGTAATTCCAGTTTGATATTGTCAACTCTCCCACAACTGTCTTTTGTGCCGCTGAAAAAAATTAAAAAGTATCACGATATGTGTACTTTTTTTGTCTATGGCGTTAAATTATCCCCAACTACTTATTTCACGTATTCACAAGTTGTTTTTAAACTGTACAATAAATGATGGAAATAAAAGATGCAAAGTCAATTCACTGAAAAGCCTAGAAAGTAATCAAGTGTGAATATAATTTTCTTCAGAGTCAAGAATTTTTAAAAAAATTGTTTTCACGTTTAGCAAGAATGGGAAATGTCAGAGTTAATTACATGAGATTTTTCTTGATTTTTTAATTTTAAAATAGAAAAATTAATAGTTTGAAAGATCTCTTGAAAAGAAACAGATGTGAACAGAAAAGAAATTGATGTGAATTGAAAATGAAAGCATGTTTGGGGGGAATCACTATTAAAAATCTGTTTTATAAATTTGAAAACCGTTATCTTGTTAAAGCAATAATGATATTTAAAATGTTTTACCTTCGTTTGTATTTTGAGCTGGATCGGATGCTGAAAATTTATAAATGACAAATAAACACAAAATTTTAAAAGTCAATCATCCATTGAAAATCAAAATATATCGATACAAATATCACCGTCCCAAGATATTAATGCGGTAGGCCCTTGAAATGAAATCACCTTCTCTCAACGTGGCTACAAATCTACATGAAATTTTAACTGTTAATCCTTTGCAACTTTTCTAGAAAGTAAATACACTTATTGTACATTACTGGCACTTCTCGAACAAAAATTCTGTAAACCCATTTCAAGTTTCTTTTATTTAGTGCTTAAAAGTGAACAATGAAAATAAGACTTACTTGCAAAATATATCGATACAAATATGGCCGCCCCAAGCACGATAGTCGCTAATACAGAACCAACCACAAAAACAGAAAAGCGGGCTGAGTTTTTCTTTTCTGAAGAATGGCTGCTGCTTTCGGTCGCAGACGACAGTGGGGATGGCGTGTTCGTCTTGCTTTTAATATCTGATCCATTAATATTTGGTTCAATTTTTATTTCTATATTCTTGGGATTGAGGCCATTCTGAATGGCGCCGTCGTTCATGCTGACGTAGGCAGCGTTGTCGTATGCATGGTTCGAGTCTGATGTCGTCTGCTGATCCATCGCAGGGATATAGAACGATAGCTGGTTCTGAAATTAAAGCGTTAATTCAGAGCATAAAATCATTTGCCTATACTGGGTTATTTTTTAATGTTATACATGTATATAGGGAACAAAGTTGCATTATGACAAGGTGTCGTTCAGAGAGCTGAATCCATGGTTGGCCCTACACGTTCAACACAAACACATACAGAGAAAGAGAGAGGAGGGGTGATGTAGTTATTTCCTTGTTTGAATTTGAAAAAATAATTGGTAGTGATAAGACATAAGTTGATATAATGGAATTTTACTAGACATAATCATATATTTTTCTAATATTTAGTTTCCTTAAAGTGTTTTCGTTTTTGCTACTTCCTTGTCTGCAAAAGGGAGACGGGTTCCAAGGATTCGAGTTAAAAGCAGTAAATTACAATTAAGTATGATTTAATGTTGTTTCATATGTCAATCGCATACGTTTATCCACTATTATCCATACGATACTTCAAAATACATGAAATTCGGGTTCGTCTCTATTCACTGTCATCATATCCCTGTCAAAACTGATCTGAAATGAAGTATATTACTTTATGATTTAATTTACTGTGTGACTATCACTTCACTAAAGAACAGCCTGACCCCCTCACCTCCAGTCAAAATAATCTCCTCGCTCAGCGTTTCACTAACGCGCACATTGGGCCCCTCCAGTCATAAATCTATACCCACAAAGGGCACCATGATTCGGTTGCTAAGCTTCACTGTCACTCTACCCTTATTACCATATATCTCTCCTGACAAATTTAAAACTTGCACCCCATTCTCATAGATTAGATCGACCTACATTGGATCGACCTAACTCCCTGGGGGTTCACGCTAAATAGCTGTCAGCCGGGCGGACACGAAAGTTAATTACCCCTTAAAGCTTGTAGTAGGCGGGGACGGACACTTAAGGGGGATTATCTGACAGTAATCTAGTGAGACTCCCCGCGGTGATAGATCGATCTAAAAGTTGTGAGAACAGAGCCTTGTAGAAACATGACGCGCGACATATTATTTTACAATACATAAAGCCCCTGCTTTTGGATAATTTACTGTATATCTCCCATAGCTGTGAACTCTTCGACCTCCTACTTTGGATAGAAACCTCCGTGTCATCTCAGTGAATTTGAAATCCCTTGTCATCAGTCTTTGAAATATTAAAACGAGAATTGTTCTAATCACCGGTTTAGTTGAACTTCATCGTTCATATCTGACCGTCCACTTCAAGGTAATTTATTGTGTAACAACGCTTGTAAAATCTGAAAAGGTTTTTGGGGTATAGTAATAATTGCGTTAACTACGAGTAAGTGTACGTAAGTAATGGCATATCGTCATAGTTTTAACAGCTGCTGACGTAGGCTTATGCGCACTTCTCAGAGAGTTCGGGAAATCGAGAAAACTATCACATTTACAACTACAAATTCTATGACTATGTAAAATTTCCTGATTACTGTTTGATTGGAAGGTTTGGGGTTTCTTTCCATAGCAAATAGGTCAAAAGCAAATTTATTTGTAGTCTCTACTTTTTTCAATTTATAAAATATTTGAAATACTCATTTGCAATCTACAGAATTCAAATAGTTAATTTCTATCAATGCCTGGAAATCATTCTAACCGTGAACTGCTTATAAGTAAATTTAGCACATGATTTTTTTATTTAAGTAAATTGAAAATGAATACTTTTATGAATTATATAGTTTTTAAAGCAAAATAAAATTCGGATATGTTGTTTAAACCGATCATTATCCTGCAAACGGAAATAGAACTTGAACCACAATAGTTATATATGTTCCGAGCGAAGAATTTGAACAGTTCGCCTTCAAATTGAAATGTCACTGAATTTTTTATATCAAAGATAGAATAATAAGAATAAAATATGATGATAAAAAATGAGGAAAATGATAAATAAATCCTCTTCAAATATAATCACAAGGATCATTTATCTAAACCGATAATTATTTGGGGATAATCTGCT